TTTTGGGACTGTAAGGGAGAAAGGAAGAGGGTTTTCACCCTCTCCGCCTTCGGCAACCATCCAACACGCCCCCCAAGGTCGGCGGACCCCTAAACCCCTAAACCCCTAAAGCCCTAAACCCTAAACCCTAGACAGTACCCAACATTTACCCTGCAACTTAGGCGCGCTCGTCTCCATCAGCCGGACCGCCACGCTGACAACACAGTCAAACATCACTTGCCCGCTATCAATATAGGGTTTGGGGTTTGGGGTTTAGGGTTTAGGGCTATATTATCAATATATAGTCCCCCTTAAGTAGATAGAATAGTAGGGTACATATTTAGGGGATTATATGGGATAATGGAAAATAAAATGGAAACTGCTATACGTAGGGTTTATATTGGGGTTATATGGTTGTCTCTATGAGCTGTAATCTAAGCTCCTTAAAGGAGGGTTATATAAGGGATTATATAGGGGATTACTATAGGGGTTACTAAGGGGGATACTAGGAGATTAGACACTAGCTCATATGGGGTTTAGGGCTGAGGGTATCATATTCATATTTTGCCCTAAAGTCTAATGAATACTACCTACAGCACGCCATTCCTCAAGCAGCCTTGACAGAAATTCTTTAGAAGGAGGTCACGTGAAAGCTCCGATGGAGAATTTCAAGAGCATGGTAAGTATTGTATCTAGCAGGAAAAACTGTATACATAGCTTATTCTAGAGGTCGTAGAAAAACAAGTTATCACCAGGCAACATCCTATTGAACTGTCGCTAATATCTACTGTTTCATAATATGTCTGTCCCATTGGAAGCTTACAATAACCCTAAACCCTAAACCCTTAATCCTGAACCCTAAACCCACTGTTTGAAGGACGGTTGGGTGACCTTCGCAAATACAGCTACCGGAGTCCGTCGAGTCATGCCCAAGGAGGAGTGGCTGGAAACACGCACGGTGGCTTGTCTGACCCTAAACCCTAAACCCTGTTCCTCTTGCAGCGCCTGCAGGGAGAATGCCACGCGGTTTAGGGTTTAGGGTTTAGGGTATGGGGGTCATACACGAAGCAATAGGGGTAGACTGTGTGGGCTGTTAGGCTTATGTGGATCAGTGCGGGGTCACAGGTCATGCTAGTAGGGAAGCACGTGCAGACCACACGTGATTGTCGAATGCCGAGGGTCTTCTTTTTGAGTGTCCCTACCCCACTGTTTTTAAAGCTAGCAGGCGTGCGTTCTAAGATATGCTTAGCACAGTCACTTCAGAACTAGCATTCCTCTAAGCCCGTAAACCATAAGCCCTTCTTGAAGATGTAGCCAACCCTCCGGGTCCGGAGCTTGCTGAGGCTGAGTCGTACGTGTCCGGCTGCATGGTGGCAATGATCTACAAAGCATCCTAGCAGTCGATTTCTCTGAACGGATATGTGCTAAAACCTGTGGTTGCGTCTGTATACTACCCAGATGGCTGGATCCTTCGCAAGGACACCCCCCAAAAGCAAAAAGCATTCCTGAAGCATGCTCGCAATAAGTGCATGTTTGTATATTCGTGGTATGTGCTTGATAGGACCTTGGTGGTACCGGGTTTCGGTAGTAAAGTAGGCCTCCCCCCTTTACCAGACGTTATATCTCGTATGGTTTTTGTACTCCAAAGTACTAGATGACATGTTGAAAGTGTACCACAGAAGGGCCCGTGTCCTTGAAAAAGTGCAACTAAAATTTATTTTCTCTATATGTTTGCCCCTGAATCCGCAGAGATTCACCGGATCTCCGTCATACATAGTAGTTGTTTATCGAGATTATCTTGTGCGGCTCTCTTTCCGAGGAACCCAACATCAAACTAAAGTTTAGCATCAGCACAAAGTTCCAAACAAACAGTCATGACCTTACACACTGTACTGGAGTGCCATTATTCTCAGGGTGCACTGTACTTGGGGTCTTTCAGGACTTTGCGCATCAACGCTGGAAACCCTTTTCAATCTCCGTTTCCATTTCATTTTCCATTTCCTTTCCATTTGTTTCTCCACTATGGGGATGATAGCCCAAACCCTGAAGTCCCAAACCTTAAATGCTAAACCCTGAATGCGAAACCTTAAATCCTAAACCTTAAACCCCAAACCTTAAATCCTAAATCCGAGAAGACTTGATTAAGGCGACGAGACGGAGTCCGTGCCAGAATCTGAGGACTCGCAGGAATCAGAGCCGTGGCCCCAGGGTTTAGGGTTTAAGGCTTAGGGTTTCGGGTTTGAGGCTTGAGTTTAAGGTTCAGGGTTTAAGGTTTAGGGCTTAGGGTTTCGGGATTCTGTTTGGGGGGGGGTGGGGATTGGAGGGCCCAAAGGCAAAATAGGTAACATTATATTGGGGTAAATGAGGATTTACAGTATAAACTTACACAACCCCAGATCAGGGAGTTTTATAGGTGATTATTTTAGGTAATCAAGGGGTGGTATGTGACCCAAATCCTACAACGAGAACCCTACAGGGTCGCATTATGATCGTCATCACTTTGGGGTTCAGGGCCTGAGCATGTAGGGACTTTCGCTGGACGATTTTTTAAACAGTTGAACATAGTTCTGTGTAGTTTAGTATACCAAGCCACACAAGAAGGAAACAGTTTTTGGGAGTTTGGGTAGGTCATCGTTAAACATGATCTTTAGTTGTGAGTGCATCGACCATAAAGACATGCTTCTAATGTTATATCCGTGAGGAACCAGTCACGGTGTGTTCACACACGGCGCTACTGTACGCCACAGACTTGGGAGCTACGCTGTCTTCAAGATCCCCAGGGTTGCATAGGGCATATGCTGTAGAATTCAGGGTAGGATATCATCAAGCCGGGGTGCATCTTCCATGCGTTGCTTCAGCGACATGCTTGACTTGACTTTGAAACTACCCACCGCACGCATACCTCTGCAGACCTGGTAAGAGCATGTCTCAAAACTACCCCATGTAGAATCTTCACTAGGGGCCCTGGTCCATATGTAACCCCCTGACATCCCTGCCCTGAGCCCAAAGCCCCCAGTTTGGTGGAAAACCAACCATATACCCCATATTCGATCTACATAAGGGGGACTATAACCCCAATATATACCCTATTATTACATAATAGTTTCCATTTTCTTTTCCATTACCCCTATATAACCCTATAGAATTCCTGTAGAACCCCTATATTCCCTGTAGTTTCCATTTTCTTTTCCATTATCCCTATATTACTATTTCCGCAGCTCTGAGATTGCAGGCCTGATGACAGAGATGTCAAGCAGGCTCCGCGGGACAAGCGCTCCTTGCCTAGAGGCTTTATGCCCCCGCATCACCACTACTATTACTACTACTACTACTACTACTGCTGCCGATTGAGCTCCTGTTCCGGCTGCAGCCGGTACTGCTGCTCTTCTCCTCCTGATGCCGCTGCTGCTCCTCCTCCCTCTCCTCGTTGTAACGCCGACGTTGATAAAAAAATTATTGTACTGCCGCTGCCGGCACCACCAGTGACATGCTGGTGTCATCGTACACCTTGCTGCCATGAATGCTGCACAGCGAACACCTGCCCTGGAGCGTCGTGCATTGTTCATTTGATGTCATTTTTGGCTGCAGCATTTATCGGCAAAGGTTCGGGCACTTGGAGTGGATATGTGGCTTTAGAACATCTACTGTGCAAGGCTCGGAGCAGGCCATGCCCCTGGTCGCACGCACTACCATGCATTATTTACAGGGATGCTCAGCCTTACCATGATGACTGATACCTAGCCTACCTTTCACCCTCCTTACTGCATACTGCATACCCCTCACTGCAAAGCCCTAAGGGTCCAAGTACCCAATAATCATATACTTACCCAAAACCTATACTGTAGCTACTGTTACCCTAAACCCAAGTAGCTAATTTTTGGGTATTGGACCCTCTGGGAAGCAATCCTTACCCAGGTCCTTCTGAGCGCATGAGCTTTGCAGATGTGGGCATCGTTCACACAGACGGTGATCTACTGGGGCGAGCGAACCAGGGACCCCTGGCTGAGGACCAGATTTGAGCTATAGTCTAAAGTTCGGCTGGGGGGACCTATAGGGGACATAGAGGGGGGGTATAGGGGGACCTATTAAAGGGATCTACTACATCTTTAGTCCAGGGCTCATTTGAATTTAAGATAGACGGAGGAAAGTGAGATTTAGTGGTCCTGGGACAATCATGCTGACGGGCCTGTTGATGGATGGCGTTGAGAACCTGTACCCCTGACTAACTGCGGTGGATACAAAGATCTTGCATGACCCTATGTATTTTATGTATTGGAAATAATAGGGCTGAATTTCATTAGGGTCATGCAGGATTTTTCGTATCAACAGTACCTCGGATAGCTTAGTAGCTATTACCCCTTAATTAGCAGGTACCATGTAGAATCCATAAAGCTGCAGGTGATTGGGGCTACTGGTAAGCCCTAAACGGTAATCCCTATGAACCTTTGTGAAGTCCCTGCGTCCATGTCATGTTCCCTTTTCTCGCTCCAACCTGCAAACCCTAAACTTTACATGCGAGCTTCATGTTTCCATATTCTTTTCCACTGTCCTCCTATAAATAATCCTGTAAATGAGGACACGATTGTGGCTCGTCACGCATGATTCAGGTGGGGCCGTGGGTCCTGACGACATGGGAGGCAATGTGCAAGGAGGCTATCTTGGGAGTCAGCATCCCTATTTACTATTTCCTTTCCTACCTTATATATCCACCACAACCTCTAACATGTTGGGAAGTCCGATTGAAGACGAAATTTCTCCACATTTCTGCACGATAAAGTTAGAAGAAAGCCGTCAGACACACCATATGCCACCCCAAAGCTCCCACGGACACTCACTCGTGTATTCTGGATAGAGAATGAGGAGCTCAAACTGGCATTCTCCATATATACAGACCCAAATCCAGGCAGCCGATAGCCTCATTTTCTCTGCTTTCGCTTCTTGCTCGTCTTTATAGCATTACCGGCATTATCCTTGCTGCTGCTGCTGCGGCGACTTCTACCGCTGCTACTCCTCCTCCTCCTCCTGCTGCATTGCGGGGGCTGCTATAGGGCATTTCTGATCGATTCCCATCTTTTTGCTCTGAAACACCCAAACCCAAGGCTCCAAACCCCACACGCTAAATCCTCAACCCCATAACATCCTTATCACCCCATACAAGGGCCCTTATGATACTATAGGGGCCTAAATAAGTACCACTATTATTGTTCCACATTCCTTATATAACTATAATCTATGCTACCTAAAAAAGGACCTCAAAATGATATTGGTCATTATTTAGGCCCTTAAAGTCTCAACTCTAAACCCTTAAGCCTATACGCTAAACCCTAAAAATGGGTAATCATTTAGGCTCCTTTCTTAGTACCCTTTCTTCTGAAAGGCTCAAAAACTTCGACACTAAGGCGAGCTGGCTCCAACTCCCAAGTTCAAACAACTTTACAGCGTTGCTCGTCGCGACAAGTTCGGTTTTGGGTTTAGGGTTCAGGGTTTAGGGCCTAGGGGAGAGTGTGGAAGGAGGGCGGAGGAGGCTTTAAGATTTGGGTTTGGGGGTTTTGGTTGTAGGGTTAGGGCTTGAGGCTAGGACTGCAGGGTCTTTATGGCATATGGCCTCTTTAAAGCTATGGTTTCTGCAGGGTCCAGGTAAGGTTTAGGGATTACGATGTTTTAGGGTGCAGAGGTCTAGAGCTTTAGGGCTCAGCGGCTAAGCGGATTTCAGTTAGGTCAGTCCCCTTCATAGTAATAGCCCCTAAATATGGAGGTAATGGGTCCTTAATGCACTTACAATATCCCCTTGTGGTACCCATTACTGGGTGGGCGACTGACCCAAGATTGCAACCCTGAACCCTAAACCCTACAGTAAACTGAGAGCTTGCAGGCGCGGTAGACTTGGCAGTTTCCTTGCTGCCTTTCTCGGGTGGTCCTTTTGGATGTTCCGTATCCCAAAATTCACAATTCGCAAACCTAGAGGCCTGCAGGCTAAATTCTTTAAAAAATTTAAAGGTGGTTATATAAGGGTTATATATTGTACTTTTACAGGGGTTATTAAAGGGATACTAGGAGTTTCAACCATGGCTCACTGGGGGTATACTCCGGGGCTTGTTTCCGGGGTATTCTTCAGAAACCTCATTGGTCTGGTGCTGCACCTAGCAGTTAAACCGCACATGCTTGCACCATATGAGCTACGGACCAAATCTAGGTTGGGGCGTTGGGGGGACCTATAGGGGGCTATATAGGGTTTAAACACGAAATATTCAACCCCCCACCCCCCCCCTCTTACATAAAATACTCCCATTGTGGTATGTTGTAGTGTGGTAGTTCCCCAACGTAACGGGACCCCAACAGAGGTTAGGTATGAGGAGGGGAAGCTCAACATATTGATTGATAGGCATGACCCGCCCAAAGGGTCCCTGAAGGTGCATAGTAGAAACTTTGGGCCCAAAGGGTCCATGTTGTTATATAGTATAGTATATAGTATAGGGTCTAGGATTTAGGGAGGAGGTTTTAGGGTTTAGGGTTTAGGATTTAGGGTTTGGGGTTTAGGGTAAGTATGTTGTAAAAGCTTTGGGCCCGAAGTGGTTCCCACATAACTACTTTGGGCCCAAGCACCATATGGCCGCATAGACCCTTTGGGCAAGTTAATGATTGCCTTGGTGCCATGGGCGTGTTGAAATGTTACTCCAGTATTCCATACTATAACCCCAATATATACCCAACTACACTGTAGTAGTTTCCATTTTCTTTTCCATTATCTCTAGATAGTATATTATTCCCGTAAAGGAGCGCTGCAGTACTTGGGTTGTAGATGAACAAGCTAACCTCTGGGACTTAAAGTTTGTACCCTTAATGTTTGTAATTTTAGGTTTGGGGTACCCTGATTAAGGGCCATATTCCATGGTTCAGGGACCCAAGCGCAAGGGTACAAACCCTAAGGGCACAAAGGACAACTGCCTAATAACCCACAACTGGCAGCTGTGTGTCACGTGCTTGCATGTAATCAAAGCCATGTTAAACTGTCCTAACAATCTGTACCTAGACCCTCCATCTACCCTCTATATACCCCTAAATACCCACTATTAGGGACCATATACCCCTAATTAAGGGTACAAGGAGGGTCCTGGTACTGATAAACCCTAAACCCTAAACCCTAAAAACCCTAAACCCTAAACCTTAGACCCTAGACCCTAGACCCTAAACCCTGTACTGATACTGTAGTGCATGAGAGCTCCACTGTGGAGAAACTGGCCAAAAGCGCGCTGCAAGCGCTCTTCGCAAGTTTCTAAAGCTGCGAGCCCCTTTCCGGGTCATTACACTAGGACCCCTCTAGGCTGTAGTATGCCTTGCAGCTCTACTTCCCTTATGTTTGAGTTTTTCAAAATCACCCTCATATTATTCTCAAAGGTGCAACCCAAACCTACATTCTCCTGCTAACCTCTGTAAACACCTACAGTCCATGAGCGTGTCCCATTTCCGTTTTTGGGGAACTCCCACAGGAGTCGAAGCGGGAAGATGGCGAAGCTGATCAGCAAACCGATGATGAAGTTGGCTTTACGGATGATGAGCTTGAGTAGGGCTCCGGCTAAAGGTTTAGGGTTTCATTCTGGAGTTAGGTGATTTGTATATCCCTAGAGACTGAAGGCAACCTTTGGCTTTAGTGCCAGGAGCCATTGGGAGCCTCCAGGTGTCTATGGAAGTGTTCAGGGCGTGGCCCTCTGAGTACTCTCTTGCGAGCCGTTTAACGGGTGTGTCTCAGAAAGTTGGGAACCTTGCTTGACGCCCCTTCAGCTGTGGGGCCTGAGGTTGAAGGTTTAGGCGTTTACTATATAGGGATAATGGAAACTAGAATGGAAAGTATTATACAGGGATAATAGACAATACATTTTCTGAGACATAGCTCAATCTTGCCTGGCTTCATTTAGGAGTGGCTTGAAATTCAATGCACGCCCGAGGGCGGTCTCCCTCTGCCAAATTCCCAAATGGGAGCTTCACAAGGTGCCGGGTTTCTTTTGGGGTCCTTATCCAAGGACTAGGTGCATCTTTGATTTAGGGTTTAGGGTTTAGTGCACGGCGGGGATCTTGGTTTGCGAAATACTCAAGTCAGAGTTCGTCCCTTCCCTTCAGGCTACACACTCCCGCATCGCTACTGATAGTGGCCAAACATGTCAACAGCATGGTTGCCAAAAGTGTTCCTCTCAAGGACCCCAGTATTAAGGATGTCGCATTAAGATTTTGGGTTTAGGGTTAAGGGATTAGAGTATACAATCGTCCCAGCGCTTCCAAAAGAGATCAGAAACCGCCCATGCGTGTCCCGTCAATCTGTTCCAGGTGTTGAACGCCAACATGTCAAATCAATGTGAGGGGCGTGTGGCGCATGGGTGCATACTTGGGTTGGCCTGTCATACCCAAAAGCCCGAAGATCCTTGTTCTTGGTAAAGTGTCCAAGTACCTAAATAGTATGTAACAAGGGCCCAAAGTACCTGTATAGGAACCCATTTTGGCCCAAATCTTCTACTATTTGGCTACTTGGACCCTTAGGGCTTTAAACGACCCATCGGTTTGATACAGCCCAGCATAGGAGCAAGGGATTGATGCGGTGCCTGCTGCTTGGGCTCAGGGACTCGATACACTGGGATGCAGTTGGGATCTGAAGCTAAGTTACCATATATAGTCGCCCTTAAGTAGATAGAACATGGCTTGGGGTATATTATAGCAAGATCCTCATATACCCCATATTCTATCAACTTAAGGGGGGACTATCTGGGTATACGGTTAAATAATCGGGGTTCCTTACTCTAGTAATTTAACTCAAGGCCCTAAACAGCAACCCAGTAGAAGCAGACCGTCTCACGATTCAAAGAGCAGAGCGGCTAGGCCTTTCCGTTGGAAGTCTCCCAAGGTGCGAGCTCCCTGTTGGGTTTAGGGTTTAGGGTTTAGGGTTTGTACAGTTGGATAATAAGTATAATATGGTTATACATAGCCCTTAATAGGACCTCTAATATAGACTGTTACTGGGTGGGGGCAGTACCCAAGGTTTAGGGTTTAGAGTTTAGGGTTCTTTGCCGGGAATAAGGGAGTGTAAGCCCTACATGGTAATCCCTATATAATATATTCCTTTATTCCCTACTCAGTCCCAGCAAGTTTAGGTTACGTGAAGGTAAGTGGGATTTAGCCACTGCTTATACACTGTGCATATAATCCTGCTCATAGTCCCCCCAACTGGCCTTATCTAGGTTACCCCAGTTAGAAGTAGTAGTTACTAAGTCTCACAAGCCTTCATGTAGTCCATATACACAAAAGCTTTTTCCTCTTTGGTGTATACCTTCCTCGTATCTTTCGTGGAGACTACCAATTGTATTTACAGCTAGGGTGGCGGCACCCTGGTTCCATTCGGCATGCAGCCGTGGTGGTGCACCCGTGGCCCAGCAGTTGAGTGCCCTCAATGCGGCTATCTACTGTCCTGGCAAAACTTGCCAGGCTCTTCTGCAGGGCACAGGGTAGGCAGCGCCTGATTTTCTCAAGAAAAGAGTTGCTTAATTACCGGGTCTTAAAAGGAAATAGGGGACTATATTCTATAGGGATGAGATAGGGATTATATCCCCTTATTCCCTACAAAGGACCACAAGAGCCGGTAAGGTTGGGACGTGGGAGGAGGGGCACTGCATGCACAAGCAAGTCATGAGCCTCGATGCCCATGACTTTCAGAGATGAGTGCCAAAAAAAAAAGAAGTAGGGTGCCCCACTACCCACAAGAATAGCATATTCCTTATTCTGAGGGGCCCCCTGGAGTTGTGAAGGCCTCCAATTAGGCGGCTTGATGAATTCGCAGCTTTCTGGCTCAAGGCAGTGCTTTAAGCTCTGCGGCCTCCCTCATTGTTCATTGTAGTCCCAGTGACAGATGAAAGTGATAGCAGCGCTGCAGCTTGTCGCCAATCATCCTATGTCCAAGGAAGCCCCACTATGACTCCATAACAGCTCTTTAAGGCCCTAGGACCCATACGGCTGCAGCAAGTCTCCAACTATGAGGCCACTGACATTAAGTCTGCCTCGTATTCTTCCCAAGTGTAACACAGTTGCGTAGACGCGATTCACATGTTATGCATCAAAGAAAGGAGCAAACAAGACTGTAGCCATCAAGGTACTGCTGCCTTTGCGCCATACTGCTGGCAGGATTCATCACAGATGTCTCCGTCAACATCTATAGACCCTAGACTCTAGACGGCTTGGCATTATTACTTGATGATTGGACTGCGAATGCCGCATGCCATTCAAGCGCTCCCCCTATATTCCTAACAAAGAACAACCCTCACTGCACCCAACATGTTTAATCAAAGCTAGAAAAGCAAAACACCCGAACCCAAGCCTCCAAAACCTAACTCCCCCCCAACGACCGCAACTCCCCCCCCTGCTTTCATGGACCAAACCCTAAGCTCAAAGCTCCTCACATTTCATGGGATGCTATGGGCCAGACCAGCCCCTTCCACTGCCGATGTCCACCGCTTTTGGTGGTGGATGGAGCAGGTGAAGGCTGGACTGAAGAAAAAGAGCCGTGTATGTGAGGGTTTCCCAAGATTAGGGGTGCCATTTTGGGGGGTCCCAAGAATAAGGACTTTACTATATTGGGGTCCCCCTACTCGGGGAAAGTACGATATGTAGCAGTAGTATGTTTGATGGAAGAACTGTTGTAGTAGTGGTGGTGGTGGTGGTGGTGGTGGTGGTGGTGGTGGGAGCAGTGGGAGCAGTGGGAGCAGTGGGTGTTGAATGGTTCAGCAATTTCAGAGCAAGCGTGGCAAACTACCACGGAAGTAACATTGAACGTCGGGCCCTCAAGGGGCATTAAACAGAATGCGCCATGGTAGCTGTGAGTTCAATCCGTCCCCCAAAGAACCAACATCAGTGGTCTTGCTTGAGCATGATGCTATGCTAGTGGAACAGTTATGGCAAGTGAGAAATTCAAAGTCATTGTGGCATGGTTTTGGAAATCTGCTTCATCATTGTGATGTTCTACTTGAGGCCTTCTGAGGCCTGCTAAAGTATCGATGGCTACACCATCCTTCAACACAAACTGGGCATAAATCCTTGGAAGAATGAATGAAATGAAATGAACGAATTAATTAAAACTGATGGAGTGAACATTCCTGCAACAATTCTAATCACTATAAGTGATGATTACCTGAGGCGGGGGAATGCCAAACTTACTGGGGGGCTTGGATTCGTCCAATACACGTCTGAAAGGGAAGCTCTCACAATGAGGACCCCTAAACCCTAAACCCTAAACCCTAAAGCCTCTGGCAAGGTCTCCCCTGCGTGTCCCAGCTCCTGCGATGCACGACATCTTCCAAGCCTTCGTCTGCACCGCCAGAGACACGGCAGACTTGATTTGCTCGTGATTGAAGTTTAAATTCAGGGTTTAGGAATATTCCGCAGCGATAGGACAGGGTCTAGGGATTTTGATCATAATCACGTGACCCTTCTGGGGATCTCTCAATCTTGAAGCGGCTTGTTTCTGGCGGGATGGGTAGTTAAGGGGTAACTGTCTGAGCAAGTGTCGAGATAATAGAACTCATTCTTCCTCATGGTCACCATCGACATCATGTGGCCACTGGTAGTATCAAAAACATGCGGGCCACAGGGGATGTACGTTTAACGTCAGGAGTCCCTATGAACTTCAATGGAGTGTGGAGACACGTTTTGCAGATGCCAGTTACCTTGCATACCCTCACTGAAAACAAACCTTGAGCCTCACCAGGCCCCCTTTAAGCGGGCGTCATGGACTTGGTATCGCCCCCATTCGTGGCTCAATGTTGGCTTGGGGGGACATCATAGGCGTTTTTTGGGTTTTGCGCTTTGGGAGCAGGGTCAGAAAGTGCAGGGAGGGAGTTCACGAGCTCAAGTACTCCGTTTGTGTCCCCATCCTATTGTTGCCCATATAGAATGTAGCCAAAAAGGGATGATTGTTGTCAAAATCCCAATTGGGAGAGCATGGTTGCATGGTGAGGAGTTTTTAGCTCGATGAGGGTTTAGAGTAAGGGTTTACAAGAGGCATCGGACTTGATAATATCGATGCAGAAATCCCTGCATGTACATAGTGTAAGCGCGACTCCCATGGTTAAGGCTAATTAGGAGCAAACAATCTTCTGACAACTGCAACCCGTTGACGGCTGTTTGTTTCATGGTTGAGTGCATGCCTACCTTTCCACTCGGGCTTTTGAGGTACTTTTTTTATTATAGATCCCCCTACAAACCAAAAGGTTAAAATGGAAAAAACTCTAGATACTGGACACCAAGGATTGCTGGATGCGCAGTGCTTCACGCATGTTCCATCAGGCCCAAATGGTTGTTTCTCCAACCAATCCATACATAATCCCAGCTCCAATAAGTCTGGAGATTGGCACAAAACGGGTGACCCTGTTTTTGGAGTCCACGTAACAAGGATCATACGGCTAGTGTGGGGTCCCCCGCTTTATAGAAGCCCTAATCCCCTATATAATCACAATGTAACCCCCATATTACTCCTATATTACCCCTGTATAGCCCTTATATATAATCCCCCTTAAGTAGATAGAATATGGCTTTGGGCATATTATAAGAAGATCCCCACATACCCCATATTCTATCTGCTTAAGGGGGACTATAACCCTAAACCCAGCGTATATGGGGCTCCCCATCTTCAGAATCTCCAGATGTGTCAGGACATCTCAAGGTGAGCTCTGCCTGCACGGTTTGAAGGTTTAGGGCTTAGGATTTAGGGCTTTGGGGTTTAGGATTTAGGGTTCTGGGTTTAGGGTATAGGCTTAGGGCTTAGGTTTTAGGGTTTGGGATAACAAAAAAATGTATGCAGGGAATGTACACTTTGAACGTGATCTGTTGAAAGTGATTGGTTGCAAGATGGAGGGGCACTTCCATCACTTTCATTATTACGGCAATGGCTACGGCTATGCTTACTCCTCCTAGTATTACAATGACCATTTCTCTTGCCAATGTCATGCTGCACTTGTTTCGCACCACGCCTCTGGCCCCTCTAAGGAGGCTCCGCGGCTGTCGTCACCGACCGTCTTCACAGACATTCAGCAAACATATCAGAAGAAAAGTACGTGAGATAATACAACCAGTTTTTGGCACCCCCAACCCCAAAATGATGGCCCTGGTATACTCATATGACTACAATGATGATCCTAAGTTCGGGGTTGGGTCTACCAGCATATTCTTCTCAAAAGAGGGATCCGGCAAGAGCCCCCAACATACAGTAGGGAAGATTCTATCCTGTTTTTGAGCTATAGTATCTTATAAGAAGCATGAGGCCTGCTTGCTTCAACCATCAGAAACCATTCTTGATCAGAGCCAGGCTTGAAAACTGCGAAACAAAGGCCGGGTTGCGAAGTAGATTCCTGGCATAAACCCCTAAACCCCTTATCCCTAAACCCTAAACCGTTGCCTATGTACGGTAGGAAGCCTGGTTTCTGGTATTAGGGGCCCAGGCAGAGGTTTCAATGACTGAAAGGCCTAATCAAGATCCTGCCTCATACTGCTTGCTCAAGAACTCCAACGCCCATGTTTGAGATTTCAGGAATGTCGGGGGCCATAAAGACGGTGTAAAATTATCAACAGAAAGGCTGTGAGTTGTAGGCAGGCAGGACATCTCGAATTTCCTCATTCTGGACGAAGTGTACATGGAGTGCCGCATAACTAACCCTTTTGTCAGCAAGAGGGGCCGAAACATCTAGCTCAGGATTTGAATTGACACATATGAATCATAGCACCGATGGTTAAAGAAAGCACAAGATGAACTCTGTCTTTCACTTTGTGTAGAGGCTGTAGCACCTCTGAACCAGCACGGGAATAGACAAGCAGAAGAGAAAGACTTTAGCGAACAAGTTCCTAAGATTTGACTTAAACGTTGAAGCCTCTCTACCCTAAACCCTAAGCCCTAAGCCTTAAACCCCTTCAGCTTTCACCCCTACCGCTCCGGCTTTGAGATCTTAGACCTTCAAGTCAGGACCCAAACCCTAAACTTTCAGGGGGGTTAATAGGGAACAAAAGAATATATGATATACGGGCTATATAGGGATTATTAGCCCTCATACCCCACTACCCGCCAGTAAGTAAACTCTAAAACCTTTGCTCCTTAAGCACCAGTAGATCAACCATGCCCAAACCCAAAGGGTCCATGTACCCAATAATTAGGTACTTGGGTTTTGGGGAATAGTTATAATAGTACAGGTTTTGGGTAAGTATATGATTATTAGGTACTTGGACCCTTAGGGAAAAGACGAGCCACGCCAGCCACATAGCCGGCGCGCTGCTCCCAGGCGCAGCAACCGCATACCACCCCCAGCCAAAATCAAGTACCCTAAGGGTCCAAGGACCCAAATAATAGGGTTTTAGGGCCCAAATACCATTAACATGAATGTAAAACCCTATTATTTGGGTCCTTGGACCCTTAGGGGTACTCTTACATATTCGGGGAAATATGTTCGATTAGGGGATGGGGGTCTTATTGCTGGGGGATCAAGTAGTACTATCTGAAGAAGAGAGACTATCAATCCCAATACGGAGTAAGACAGCTTTCTCCTTTTGATTGTAAGATATGACAAGAATCAAAGAATGCGTGGGCTAAACCATTGCCGACATATGCTGTCATCTATTGCAATCTTGCAGCCAAGGACGCCAACGCTGACGACGGTTCGCTTCCAACCATGCAGGCAGGTAGCGGGAAGCAAACATAGGTATTGTGGATGGATACAACCTCGCAGCAGACCTAGGATGCAAAATTACAGTTATTTAATCCCCTAGTAATGAACCCCGAACCCCGAAGAATGAATATTCCCATCATTAGATATAGACATGAGTTTGTAGAATGATACTCACTATTGGACGATATTGGGAGTATAGACGGTGGTGCAAGCTTTCCTCGGTCCACCTTAGCAAAGCCTTCAGGTTGTTAAAAGCTGTTGACCTATGGGCCTGTACAGTTAGTTGACATTGTACTAACCATTATAGTGTTTGGCATTGCGCGGGTCAGATGCAGATGTCTATGCACACCCTCCCACATGATTCCTAAATGCAAAGCACATGGGCTAATCACGGCGAGCACCTGGACAAACTGTCTAGAGATGAAGATTGGCAAAACCGCACAAACTGCAACAGCAGCTGACCTCATCCGAAGATGCCATACACGCTGCAGCATGTTGCTTTAAGTCTGCAGTCATCTGGATACTGGATTGGTAAAACTTGGCGTTCAATATGGAGCTACCAGTGTGACATGACCTATAGTCTAAACTCGTAGTATATCCCTTAATAACCCCTACAATACTCCCCTGTAAAATTCCCTATAAAACCAACTTGAAGGAGTTTAGACTATAGTTCACATGCGGTTAGAACCCCTGCAGTGCTCAGTGCACCTTCAAGGCCAAGGAAGATGGCGCTTTCTGCTTGTGGTGATTGTGAGAAGCGCAACATGTGTACATATATGAGCTATAGTCTAAACTCCTTAAAAGGGGGTTATATAGGGGGAGTATTATAGGGGTTATTAAGGGGGATACTAGGCTCATATGATCCCTTGTCTACACTCCTAGTATCCCCCTAAATGTTCCCCGGTATAATCCCCTAGACAATCCCCTTAAAGTTTAGATTATGGTTCACATGGGATTCCTTTCGGGGATCGTATTTCGTAGAAATGCCCAATGGCCAGAGGTCTTCGTTGAGCAGATGTTCAGCGGAGTGCGCCTGATACTAAGCTTGGACGGCATTGGTCTCGACGTGGAGGCTAAGCTGGATCAAGCTTGGGCGACTACGCGTGATTCAGAATTCAGAACTTGTTTCTGTTTAGATACTGCTGTCATTGTCATGAATGTCATCCGCTCATAGCACGTTCACTTACGGTTTTCTTTGATTTTGCGGGCAGCTTTGCTATCAAGCTTGTCTGCAATCACGCAGACATGAATACACCTCCTTTGGGTGCACTTTTTTTTCTATGCTATTCTTCGCATTCAGCCATTCAGACTCTTCCCAAGAATCATAGCCAGCACTTTGAATCCCCCCCGCCCAAGGAGCGCAAGCTTCTCCCAAAAGAAAAAAAAAAGCACCATATCTGTGGCATTATGAGGAGATTCTAACCCTGGTCTTTAACGGCGTGGAGAAGACAATCCTCCTGGGTGGCATACGCCGCTGGACCTATTTGAGGTGAGTTTGGGGGTATAGGTTAGGTGGAACCCCCCGCCCTGCTATAGTGACTATAAGGGATCATAAGGATCATATCAGGGCCCGACTATATCCCTAATATACCACTATGACAGCCCGGGGGGTCCTGCTAAGGTATAGGTATATGGTTGAGGCTTAAGGGGTTGAGAGTTTACGGAACATTGTTGAGTCACTGTTGGTGTGGTTGGGATTGAGGGATGCAGGGATTCCGACGCAGGGTGTAACATGTTATAGGGTTGGTCACTTGGCTTGGTTTTTGAGTTGGTAGCTTCTGCGATTTAGGGTATATCGGAATGCTTGAGCTACACCTGGTAGATGTTGACCTGTTTTTTGCAGGGTCATGCTGGCAGCACCGTATAGCGCTGACTCTGGCTGCAGTTACTGTCATTATATAATCCCAGTTTCCATTTCATTTTCCATGTTCTTTTCCATTTGATTCTCCATCATAGGGCCCTAAACCCTATATTGGGTACCATAGTATCCCCCCCAAAAATTCTACCCTAAACCCTAAACCCTAAGCCCTATATAACCCATTATAGTAGTTTCCATTTTCTTTTCCATTATCCCAAAAAATACTACTCAATAATGGTTCATGGCGCTTTCATGGTTGGTCCTTTCTTCCAATCCTCCTCTTTTGATGTGCCGTTCATCGCAAGAATCATACAATGCTTGTTAGGGGTTTAGGGTTTAGGGTGGAAACTCACACCTTTTCTATTTCAGGTTCAGAAATTGCTGGGGCGTATCTTCAGCGGCTCGCAAGAAGACTACTTGAAGCTTGTTGGGAGGTAGCAACTACGTATGCCTAGGGTTCTAACCGACATGCAGAAGCAGCTACCCTTAAGGGTTCAAGTACCTCAAAATCATGTACTTACCCCAGCCTGGACTACGTATACTTACTAGTACTCTAAACTCAAGAACCTCAACCCTACATATCCCTATATATCCCCATATATCCCTTTAACGGGACCTAGTTGTTGGGTACTTGGACCCTTTTGGTGCTATGTCCGCTGAATCTGCCACCAGGCCATGTCTCCGTGTACAAAAACTCTGGGCCACTGCGGAGACTGGAGCAGCTGGATTCTTCTGGAGATCCTACGCCCTTTTGGGCTGTGCGTCTTTAGGGCTGCAGAGATGGATGTGGAGGTACTCGAAATTTCTGGGTCTGTTTCTGTTGACCTTCCGTAAAGAGAACAAGGTTTAGGGGGGTTTGCAATCGTAGGATCTTTATAGTACTTATACTGCCGATGCGTTCATGAGTTGGCCGCTCTTGATACAAGACCGCTTGCTTTTGGATAATCTTGCTGGGCAAGTCAAGCTGTATTGGTTCCGCTGGAGGTAGTGGTAGAGGAAATCTCAGTCATCATCAATCTTATGACTGGCACCTCTGACTTCAAAACGTCCGAGACGCACCCATAACAGGAGAAGTTAATGGTGTGAATGACCAGTGAAACGACATCTATTTCCCTGCCAACTGAGGTGGTTCTGCCAAAGAATATTTGTTGGGTAGAGAAAGGCCCCGCTTCACATCAGTTTTGCTCCTGTTGTGATGCAGGGTCTCCGCATGCTGCCCCACAAAGGGCAAGCCCTCACGCCCATGATGCCAACAATAATTCCTGTCGGTCTCTTTATGATGAAGCACCCTATTATTGTTATTATTAGTATCCCGTTATCACTGGCTACAAGACAACAATCCTTGTAAAGAGCGCTTAAAGTTTGTAGTTATCTTTTTCGCGGACCCTGCATGATGAACTGCGAGCATCATTCTCATCACCGTCCAGAATCTAGGCAGACGCCTGAAGGATTCGTAGTCCCGGCTCCTAGTGAGTATTCCCAGTACGGCGCCAACAAAAACCATAGGGAATGTCAACGTATTGTTTAGGTGTTGGAGTCGTAGTGATTATGGGATTTGTTTCCTTTGATTGGTAATTCGGCGGTAACGTCGTGATAAGGGTCTTTCTCAAAATGCTTCCTGTGTAATCTGTGGTAGGGGCCCCTGTATGCCCTAGATTCCTCAAGGGCCCCGCGTTTTGGAGAGCCCGGAAAATCTTCTGAAAGTGTCTGACTTATGCAAAACGAGCCCTGCAATCCTTTTGGTCATCCCTAACGGCATGGTTGCATATTCTCAAATGGCAGGTTCCTTAACATCAGAACCCACTCAACGACGCAAGTCCCACACAGACCTCAAAACCCTGAAGCCCTAAAATTTCTTGAGCCCCCTAAAACCTCCCTAAACCCACCTAAGCCCTAAACCCTAAACCCTAAACCATGAGACCAGGTCTTGAGCTTCAGGACGACCGATTCTGTGACTTGACTGGCTGTTAGGGGTTTAGGGTTTAGGGTTTAGGGTTTAGCCTAGCCCTCCTACGACTCGATTGTTTTGAAAGGTCTAGAGCCCCCATTAAGCCCTAAACTCTGAGGATTTGTAATCTAGGCCTGCTACAGGGAGGCTAGAAGTTTCACTTAGGGGTTTCCCCAAATTAGGGGGTTACCTGTTTGGGGGGTCCCCAGAATAAGGACTATCATATTTTGGGGTCTATATTGGGGTCCCCTTATTTAGGGAAACTACCCACCTGTGTTTGAAGGGAACCTTAAACCCCACACCCTAAACCCTAAACCCAAGTCCTAGAGCCAGTAAAGGTGAGTTCAGCTTCTCTTCGCAAAGCGACGCCCGCTACTTCGGCAGCTGCCTACAGCTCCTGATTGAGGCTCAAAAGCCCAAACTCGTTCGGCTTTAGGGTTTAGGGTTTAGGGTTTAGGGTTGAGGCTCAAAAGCCCAAACTCGTTCGGCTTAGGGTTAACGTGTTTGTGGGGTTGAGGGTTTAAAGGCTTTGTGTTTTTGTTTTGAGGTGTAGGGTCTGGAAGCCTCTCAAGAGGGGATGTAGGGAGCATATGAGCCGTAGTCTAAACTTTTTAATGGGGGTTGTATAGGGGAGTATTAAGGGGAATACCAGGAGTTTAGACTATGGCTCATACGTGCCAAAGCTCGTGTCAGAAAGCTCATGGTGCGTCAATCTTCCAGACTCTAGATAGCCTGCGTGTCTACAAAGAACTAGACTGTTCGTAGCCGTCTACAAAGCCGCCTGCGCTTTCTCAGGAAGGAATGTTTAGTTAAGATGGAAACGTGGGGACTAGGTGGTCTGTTAAGCAGAAAGGATTTCGGGTTATAGCTCTAGGTTCTTACGCCTCATATACTTCGAACAGGGTGTTCAAGGAGTATGGGCTTTGAGATAGTGTGTCGAACAGGGAGAACCTGAAGCTTTTTAGCAATTTCATGCCATTATGGGGCTTCCATAGGCCGTGAAGGGATTGTGTAAATGGTGTGAGTACTTCGAACATCGTCAAATCGTTTCTAGCCATGCAGGTCTTTGTGAAGTCTTGTAGGTTTGAATGGCTGTGCTCACACCCTCCACCTGCCTTAAATTAGGGCTGCAGTCCCAAATATAATGAGGGCCAGAGATCCCCAATTACGATCCAACTTACTTAGAGGTGCTGGGAGGGTCTTGGGACATCATACACATTTCCGTAAAAGCTACTGCGGGTCATACCCTCGACTCGGCATCCAAGCAGCGGACCCTGATGCTAAGTTCTCGAAGCGCAAGTCCGCACTACAGGCCGTAGTTTCCAGTAGTTTCGATAACGTAAGGGGACCCCAAGCTGCAATCCATATCATAGGGACTCCCGAAAGGTACCCGTGATGTAGGTACCCCTAATGTTGGGAAACCCCCAAGTGTTGAGGCCGCACGCTTCAAGGATGTGAAGAGGGACCTGGATCCTCGCTTCAATTCTGTGTCCGCCTCAAGTAATCAATTTAGGGGCTTAGACTTTTAGTGATTGGTTTGGTGTTCAATCAAGGCATAACCTTGCTCTGTATTTACGGGCTGCGGGAGTCTGGCGTTGAAGCACACTGGCTGTTGGGCGAAATATGTGGTTTTTCTATAGTTGCAGTGATGGCCGTCTCCATGCGCTTGAGACGTGCTTGCCCTGATATCTTGGACAATAGCATCCTCATTCAGAGCGCTACCCACCTGGGGAGGGTGTATGGTTTAGGAAACAAGGAGGTAGTTAGTAGTTTCTTGCAGCTTAGCACACGTATGGCAAAGTAGGAAATCAGTTTGCAGTAGCCTTAGATAGCACTGGCAATATACTGGACAGATTAGCAAAGCAGCGGGCGGATGACATTCGACAATGAGTACCTTGCTGCTATCAGGGTTTAGGGACAGATGCTTTCCTTTGCTTTTAGGATCCTTTTTAAGGGGTTGTGCTGAGTTGCCACTAACCGACTCCTGGATGCACATGGGAATTTGCATCGGGCCAGGCCCCGAAAGGCTGGAAGACCCTTCTTCACCCACGTGAATGTCATTTACAGAGCATGAGGCATCTTACATGGCCTTAACTACAACTGTGTGAATCTTCCCTGTCACTGCAAACTGCTTTGTGGTTCAAGCTTATGTCAATCCCCCCTATAGCAATAGCTGCTCAATATGGAGTCAGAAGGGTTTCTCTACACCTACAGTAGTCCCTTGTGGTAACCATTGCTGGGTTGGGGATTGACCCAAGTTCAAGGTGCTTCGCAAAGCCCTGCCATGACTCTGAAGTGAGTGACGGTCTGCATTCGCAATGTCTTGGTTTAGAAAATCGATGAGGGATGCACAACATGGTCAGTGAAGCAGCAGAGAGACAGGGGGAGAGCAATTGTAGCAAGAGCTATTCACATCAGTATAGTGTAGTGCTATTCCTTCCTCCCTGCCATTACCCCGACACTGAAAACTCCCAATACACTTGATGGATAAAATTTTCCGAGGCTTCAGCCGAGGAGGCGGATGCAGCCGCAGGGGCGCTGACGACTCGATCCTCGATAGTTTATTAACAAAATTGTGTATGTGAAGGAGTTCTCGGCACCCAGAATTTAGGGTTAAGATGGAGGTCACTCTTACATACCCCAGCAGCGCGGCGGCAGATCTTGGCAGAAGCAGGTTGTTAAGATGCCGATAAGATCTGCTGCGAACGTGTATCCTAGCACAGTACCCATTCCTAATGTCGACCCCTGATTCATAAACCCACTCCCTTTATTAATACTAGGATCCCTAGTATAATCCCTACTAAGGGGAGGAGGTTTATTGATCACGGGTCTGGGCTATAAGTTCTGGGACTTGTCACCGTGCTTATCGCTATGATGATCTGCTTAGAATCTAATTCTGGGCCGGGGCAGTCTACCCCGTAGAACCACCCTAACCCTAAAGCCTGAACCCTGTGGACCTAGACTCGAAGCCCTAGACCCTCAACCTGCACACCCCTAAACCCTAAAAGACAAACAAGGGGTTCCAAAAATTAGGCTTCCCTTGTAGGGGGTCCTTGCAATACGGATGAATTATGGTACATGGGGGTCTATATTGGGGCTCCCTGTTTCTGGAACTAGCTAACCCTAAGAGTCCAAGCACCTAACTCAACTGTTGGGTACATGGACCCTTATAGGGCAAATCCCCATGGTCCAGGATCAGTGGCGCCTGGCCCTCCACACCCTGCTGCCGAGCTGGCGCAGGCACGTTGCCGGCTCTTGCTTTCTCTAGGGCAACGGTTTTGGGTGCAGGGTTTAGGGTGGCCCCTCCTGGTTGTAGGTTAGGTTATGAATGGGCTCTATTGCGGATACTTTTGGCCTTTAGTCCCAGTCAGAATTTGTGATCATGGGACGTCTAAGCACAGTTCTCAACTCTTGGTGGCAACACCACTCATTACTACAAGGTTCCTGAAAATA